ATTGACTAAACTCTCAGCTGGTAAAACTGTTGTCGGTAGCTGGTGGGTTTACACTATTAAAGCTAATAATACTAGTAAATGAACAGTTTAAATGCCATTTTTTTCTGAAATGTTACTCGCAAAAAGCTGAATAGATTATCCTGGAACTTTCTCATGAAACACTTATCATCTGTAAGTACTTCAATGCAATTAGCTATTCAACATTTATTTGTCCACCAAATGGATGTAAAAACCACATATTTAAATATACTGATTGACTGTGAAGCGTATGTCCAACAGCCCAAGGGCTATTCTATTACTAGCAATAACAAAACTTGTATTACAACTAAAAAAAGTCATTATATGAACTTAAACAAAGAGGGAGAAATTGGAATCATGTTCTACACACATATCTATTTGGTCATGGTTTCTCCTGATCCTTGGCAGACTCTGGCATTTACACAAAAAAAACATTTCAAATACAATAATGATTATTATTGTTTGGGTTAATGATATACTCATTGCTGCAATTTGCAATTCTGCATTAATTAATGTAAAAATACATTTAAATAAACAATTCAAAATCACTGAACTTTGACAGCTTTCTTTCTTTCTATGTATACAATTTATATTTAAAAATAACTCCATAGGTATGAGTGAAATAAAATATATTGAAAAAGATTCAAGCTGAATTTGGAATGGAAGATTGTAAACCTTGATCAATGCCTTGTGAAATGGATATCAATATACTGGATGAGAGCAATGCTGAACAAGCAAACAAAAAAAATATTACCAAGAAATAATTATGACTGCCACTCATCCAGATATATGTTATGCGGTAACAAAATTATCACAATATTCAGCAAATCCAAGCATAGACCACTTGATAAGAGCCAAAAACATCTTATGCTATTTGAAAGGCACAAAAACATAGTGTTTAGTGTTTAATATGTCTTGTAAGCCTTTAACTTTAAAAGGCCTTTGTGATGCTGATTGAGGAAATTCAAAAGATTACTACAGTATTACAGTGTACAATTATCATCAATTTGATGATTTTGTGTAAAATGAGAAAACAACCTACAGTGATGTTGTCAACATGTGAAACTGAGTATATGGCACTGATGGCTGCAATACAAGAAGCAAAATTCCTTAACTATTAAATACCTTGATTAATTCAACTGAAAATGAGCAAGCCACTATTATAATAATCAGGGTACCATAGCTTTTGCTAAGAACCCTATCATCAACATTCAAAACATGTAGATATAAAGTATCATTTTATAAGGACCGAAATTCAAAATGGTATGATAAAATTGGACTACATTCCATCAGATGAAAATGTTGCTGATTTATTTACTAAACTTAGTGGCAGAGTAAAATGAAATAATTGTTTTTAGTGCTCTAAATGTAGTGCAATACTAAACATTTCTTTGCTTACCACATTTTTTTTTTTATTCCCTCAGTTTTTTCTTCACCTATATTTTTTAACCCCTTTAAAAAAACCAAAAAAAATGTGTTTTAAAATGTTAAAAAATATTTAAATAAAAAAATTGAAATGTTTTAAAATGCTTAAAAGAAAAAAAAAGAAATTAAAAAAATGCTGTAATGAAAATGATAATAAAAAAAGTTTGAAATATTAAGTTCAAAATGTCAATTAATAAAAAATATATTCAGGCTGACTTGTCAAAATCTTGGCCTTTTGTCAAGAGAGGAACCTAGATGAGGCTATAATGAAGGGCAGAGTCATGTCGGGATGTAGACAAGTCTGACCCAGTGCATGCAGGAAATTTTTGCTCAAGCTCAGATTTGCTTCACATAAAAAACACTGAACTTTTTGCCATATTACTGTTAATTTGCCTTGCATGTATTGTTTGCTTGCTTTATATTATTTTTGCTGTTCTTTTTTTTGTTTATTGCAAACTTTGTCAATTCTGTTGGGCAAGTTCTGCCATTTACAGTTAACCATGGCCACTTACAATTCCCAAATCATAAAGTAAGTACAGAGAGCCCTAAATTGCTTACATTCTAAAGGGATACGACACTCACAATAGATTATGCACCTGACAGATGCTAAATAAAGGATCAGCTGAAATGGATTTTAATTGTCAAAGCAAAAGTTGAAATTTCTGAAATGAGGAGTTATCATTATTTGAATTTGGACTAATATCTTCATCATTATCATCATCAGGACATCTTGGCAGTTGTGGTCACAAGCTTTTTTCAGGTGTCTGTTGATCTGGGTTAACTTCAGAGAATTTCAAATTGAGCCTTTTATTTAATCTATAGGAATATATTTTTCTCGTTCCACTGACCATGTTTACGGATATCTCACCTCATTTTTTTTTTTTTTTTAAAATTAGTGGCTAGTTATTGCTTGCTTTATTTTCATCGAGCCTTAATTTATACAACCCAGACCAGGGATTGAACTCACAATTACTATGTCACTAACTTCACAAACCAAATGCTTTAATCTACTAGGATATTGTCCCATGGACAATTATGATAACCACAACAAAGATGTGGACATTAACTTGAATATAAAGAAGTTAAAAATAATAAAATTTGTAATGTTAAATTCTTATTAAAGCTTTAAACAAGAAATTGCTATTTAGTTTCACCCAATGTTACTTGTCGTCATGTCCTCAAAAGCTGCTGTTGCCTAACAATGTGAAATAATGTAAGAAAGACATTTTTAATCTGCTTGATTACAAAGCAAATATACACTGTGAAAGGCATTATGTAAATTCAGCTTGTAATAATGAAATAGACTAGCTAATTCTTCTTAAGAAATAACTTGGAATTAAAGTTTTTATTATTATTAGGCAGAAAAGCAAAGAACATAGTAAAAAGATTTAGGGTGAGGAAAGGGGTAATATGAATGTAGATTTATCCAATGTTTTACACAAACACTTTAATCCCTTCTTTGTTCTCAATATATTCTTCACCCTGAATCTGATTTAATACACGCGAAAAAAAAAAAAATAAAGGAGATCTCTTGGCAACAAATTAATGTAGTCATAGTAGGTTTTCAAACTAAGAAAATCTCCCCGCCTGCATCCAACACTTAGTGATTAAACCTGATGCAGGCTGAAGAATAAATCAGTTAAAATGTGTTAACAACAGTAAATGTACATGGAAAATGGTGCCTTGAGTGAGGCTAAAAGGGGAAGCATTACATTAACTTAATTTCTCTATCACTGCCAACCTGTTTTGGAGAAAAATGAAGACCCAGTGGTGTGGGTATTTATTAGGTGAAGGAAGGAAACATGATACAATACGGGTAGGTGGTTGAAGTAATAAATAGACAAATCGTAGTGGTTGTGGGATGATTTCCTGTTCTGTAGTTGGAGAGGAGTGATGAGAGGGAGAGTTTTGTGACCTTTGACATGGCTAACAGGTTCAAACCCTCTGCATTTGAGAATCAGTGAAGAAAAAAAATTAAAAAAAAAAGCTATTTTTTCTTTTTCTTAGCAAGATAACATCACTAGTGATTATCAGTGATTTTTTTTTTTTTAATTCCAAACTACATGAACAATAGTGGATATATCAATAACCCTTCTGAAAATTATAGATTAGACTGTATGTTTGTGTTTCACTTAGCCATAAGTTTCTATGGCTGAATCGATTAATGTGGTTGTAGTGAAAGAGATAATCAGGTACTCTGAAAAAAAGTTTGTATTTTGTGTGCGATCTGCCAAAGAAAAATTACCAAAAAGTAGTCAGCAAGAATCTACCTCAATGACTAGAAGCTATGCTAATGTTTTCCCTCCTCTGAATGGCATGACCAATCAGAAAATTCTCTCGGGGAACAGAAGTCGTTGTTTTTCGCTTATAAAAAGAGATGATTTTTTTTGAGCTGTGAGACGAACATGCGTTATTGTTGGCGAGAAGTGAAGGTTGGATTTGTGACCCCATTTTGTCGTCTCTACGGTGTGTGTTGGACTGTTATGTCGGGCTATCGTGTAAACTGTGATTTGGCTACAAGTGTTGCGTCCGAAAAACAAGAAATCTTGCTGTTGCTATGATCAGTTGACAGTCTTTTCTTTACCCCAACAGTGGTGCTGATGAAAGATGAGCTTTAGATATACAAGGTTACTTCTTTATTCCTATTTCATGATAATTTCACAGTAGAAAGTATTGATAGGAGGTAACTAGAAGAATAAAAGACTAGTCAAAATTAATAAAAAGAAAAATTCAAGTAGTTTAAGTGCCATACTTGATGGGTTAGAGAATATACAAGAAAAGAACTAATGCTTTCTCATTTCAGCAGGAAATATCAACAGTTGATATAGACTAGGTTGTGTGCATAGTGTAACAATTATCAGTGTGAAAAATAAGATTGGCAGGTCATGTCCAATTTCCAATCAAAGCTGTTGTATTCACTTTCACACCAATACTCATGGAAAGGTAGGAATTCATTTCTTTTCTCTCCAGTTAGGGATTAACAGCAGAGTAGACTGGGCTCTTTAGCCATGGTTGGCAACCAGTATAGGAGAAGGACGACTTTGAATTCAAAACTGCCAAAGTATAAGGCTAGCAACTAAAAAAACCTACTTGCTATGAAACTATGGTATCAATGCCGAGAATGGTAAGGAGTCTACAAGGTGGACAAACATACACCAGTATTTCTTGCAGTTTATGTTAACTTTTGACTCCTATGGAAGACTGCATGTCACCTTCATTAGATTAAATGGCAGAGTAGAAGGGCTCTTTAGACTGGTTTGGCTACCAGTTCCTGATTTCAAAGAGGGGGGTTGAGCCTGCCAACTCGACACATCAACTCAATGAGTCTCTTCTCAACTAAAAGAAAATTTGAATCTTCCAGTATTATCAAAATATCCAACTAAAATCCTAAGATTTTAGTCAAATATGATTAGAAGATTTTCTTTTTTTAAATCCCCATTTTAAAAGAAAACAATTAAAGCAGATCATAATAGTGACATGAAATGTAACAGAAAAATCAAAGAACAAAAACATATCTTAAATTATTTCTTTATTAACTTCAAAAATTTTGGTCAATGTCAGTGATAAAGTGTTGGATCAAAAGCACTTCCAAAAGTCAATCTCCAAGAAGGAGGAATTGTCCAATTTCCAGTTGCTTGTAGATCTGCATTCTGGAAAATTAAGAAAAATATATTTAAAAAAACAACAACTTTTAAACAAGAGCTGAATTAATTTTAATTTTTTTTTTATCTATGCAAGAAAGGATCCATAATTTTGTAGCCTGACACCTCTAGTAGCAGAATTTTGATCTGAAATTTTCTCTAGATAATACAATACATGTGGTTAATAGAGAGGCACTGGGTTAAGTGTATTAACAAGGAAAGGATTATGTTGAAAGTTAAATATTGGTCGTGTAAAATGTTTTCATGAGGCTACTACACACTCATTGATCTACCTGTATTTTGTGAGGAATTATTTTCAAGGAAGTTAGCTTAGAAAAATTGACACTTGCTTTCATAATTTATGAATTGAAATGCTCGTTAGACATAAGATGATTTTAAATTATAATGATAATAATTCATTGACATGAACACATGCTCTATAGTAATTAGAACTTTAAATTCTTGTGAGCAAGACAAATGATATTCTAATTCAGCAATATTCAACCCAGGAACTGCAACATCTGAGTGTCTCACAGACAGTAGAGGGGAATGGTGATAACATTTTTCTTTTTTTTAACCATATTTTAACATTTAAAAAATGATTAATAAAAATACTACTGCATTTAGGACAACAAAACTTAATTTTTAGTCTAAGTGCAAATATATTTTTCCTCAAGATTACATGCAAACGGACAGTGTAATTCAGTTACCAAAATATTAGAGAAACAAATTTTATGACAAAAGTAAAATTTGAAACCTAAAAATGTCATTTTTCAGCATTTCTTATAGACAAGAAACAATTAAATTTCTCTTTTTCATTTTGGTTGTTGAAGTATGAATATAGAAGTCAGTACAAGGCAAACCATTTTGGTGACAATAACTTAATATTTTCTTTTGCATTTATTTTTTAGATTCAGCATGTATTCCACAAACAACTGAAAAAAAAAACAAAAAAAAAAATACATCTTTTTGTAATTTTTTTTTTATCATGTCCAAGTACTCTTATTAAGGGACATTTTTTTTATTTATAAAGCTTTCATTGCAATTTTTTACACTATTGCTTTAATGCTTACCTGAATTCCATTACAAATAAGTTTCTTAGTAATCACTTAAACAACATGTGAAATTCTCTGCATTTACAGGTTGCATTCAAACATAAATATTTAACTTTTGAACATATCACAACTTTTCATAAAAAACAAAATTCATAAAACTTGGTGGAATATTAGTTTTTACATTTTAATGTTTTGAATACTTCATTATCTACATTCTTTTTTTGATTAAAAAAAAATTTAGAAATGTTCTCTTGTTAAATTATATATATTTGTTCTTTGAAGAATCGTCAATTCCTTTTCTTGGTAGAATAATGAAAATGTTATATCAAAAGGGAGATAACTTCACTGAATTATCTCACAAGGGAGACAACATTGTCTTCTCAAGAACAAATGTACACTTATTTTCAATATTTGGTGAACGAAGATTACTGATTACCTAACTGGCAAAATCCTTCGAAATCAAAGAAGATTTTAAAATTTAAATACCAAAATAAACACAAAAAAAGTTAAGCTCTCAAAGAGTATTCAATATAAGCATTTTTACTTTTCATGAAGCTTAAATTTCTCATTAAAAAGGCAATTGTATAAAAAATATTTTATTTGAAAATATACATATAAACAGTATTAGTTTTGTTAATATTATTTGTAAATATCAAATATTATTATACATAATAAAAATGCAAATTCCATTGCATTTTATTTTCCTTATTTATCAGGAAAGGCGGGAATAACTTAACAGTTATTGGTACAGAAAATGAAATTACAAAGTTCAAATTCTGGTTTATTTGCTTACATTCACTTCACCCTAATGTCGTTGGGAAATACATGAATCCATCTTCTTCCAACTACGGATTGAAAAGCAAGAAAAACTGGACTTTCTTTTGTGTAGCAACCAGTATAGAAAGAGGAAAATTCTGTATTGGTTATAAAATCTACTACCCTTGGAAGATCTTGCTTGAATTTTGATAAATCTTTTCTTATTTAACATGAAGCCTATTGAATTTCATTTACCTGGGACATGTAGTTACTCTGATATTCACATTTTAAATTATGGCAATTTAGGGGGGCAGCCTGTATTACTACTATGCTACTTTTTCATGGTTACAACATTTAGTCTAGATATCTGGCTAATGGGATATGTATTCATGCCTTTCTCAAGACCATTAATGTGATGTGAACATAGGTCTCAAGTAGAATTCGAATTTGGCTTGTCAATTGTTTCCATGATCATTACCACTATGTCACCTCAAATATCTAAATATATTTTTAATATCTAATTAAGAGCAATGTTCAGAAGTTTATGTCAGGTCACTCCACGAGTGTAACTGGTGACATGTAACCCAAACCAGTAGTCCCCTGACTTTTTTGGTGAGGAGCATGGCGAGCCACCCAGAAGGATTAAAAACAAAACCTGTTAAAGGGTGGATGAATCTTGTAGAAGCAATTGGGTGGACTAGTCTTCATAGCTATGTATGTAGCTGATGTGATGATGACATGTCATTGCTGGGCGAAGGGATCCCTAGACTGAAATCAACGTCCAGGGCAGAGGGTTCTCTTTGATGGAATCAATGGCTACATGAACATGACCAAAATTTCAGGTTGGCAGATATCAGCTTAGGCCCTGTTAGGTTTACTTGCCCAAGACACTCTACTCATGAATGAATACCTCTGACTTTCAATCCAGATATGTAGAGGGAACTGGTCAGATGCTCAGTTGTACAGCAACTATGGCCATACTCGTTCATGGGACTGATGATAATGATGAAGGATCAATATTAACTGTAATATCTTTATTTTAGTTAAAAGTAATACTAAAGGATCCTATACTGTCATTAATTTAATAAGGTTTTTCTCTTAGATGAGTTTTTATATTCAAATTTTTTCACCCTTTTTTTTATATATTCCTTCTCTAATGTTTGCCCAGTGCCAAGCCTATTGTTAGTTAATTTTGTTTATAATAATAAGTCTATGGTCAATGTTATGTCCTGGTACCTAAATACCTTTCTGGCTTTCAACCCAGATATGTTGAGGGGACTTGTCAGGTGATCAGCTGTGCAGTAACCCTATGATCACACTTGGTTATAGTAATGATGATGATGATGATGATGATGATGATGTAGAGGTGTGGTAGTTAAGAGGTCTGAATGTCATTTCTCAAGCTGTTTATTTATGAATATTTACATTTTATATATTGGTTAGAAAATGATGTAAAAGCAACAAAATTACTCACTGGAGAAACTGGGATCAGTGACAGCCATTGATTGAGCCGAGTGGCTAAATACTGGGCATGCCAGGCATTGTCTCCTTCAGCACAAAATAGCAGCAGCACAATAACATTCAAGTCTGAATTGCAACTGTTGGTGAAGAAAAAGTTAAGCAATAGATTTGATATAAAAATTAGAATGAGTAAAGAACAGATTTAAATTCTAAAACAATCTGTATAAAGAATCATGTGAATTTGGACCTCAACTTAACAATGATTTAACCAGTAAGATTACAGAGCCAAGGGAACTTTCCCCAGGGTCCTGAAAGATAGATGGAGTGTTGGATCTAGATGTCAGGCTTCTGCTTTGCTTAAGAAAATTGGTTTGGAAAAATATGTTAAGATGGAAAAATCAATTTCAGAAAGCATGTTCCTTTCAAAATAGAATCAAGTAAAAGAAACGCTGCTGAGGTGCCCCCCCCCCATTTTGTGTGTATGCATGCATATTACTGTGGGTATTTTCATTTGAAATAAATGCCCCATTTTTATCTTTACTTTAAACAGTGTGTATTACATCTAAGGGACTGTATATTCGAAAAATCTTAAAGAAAATGAGCACTGAGCGAGCTTCAAGGTAGTTGACTAACTGAAGATTTTATGCAAGGGCATGAAATTTATAGTAGTGTTTGGTCAATGTGTACCAGAAAAATAATAATTATATATATATATATATATATATATATATATATATATATAGAGAGAGAGAGAGAGAGGTGTAGGTTTAGGAAAATGAAATAACTAAATATAAGCAACTGTATACGTGTGTGCCAGCTTGTATACACAGGTAAGCAAATGAATAATTACCGAATTTTGCCAAGAGGTGTAAACAAAATAGTGCTTGATGTGATTAGACAGAGTCAGCAAATATATATTAATAAATATACATATACCTATGTTTGGTGTGTGACTTAAGTTTATAAGTTATATCTTGTGCCTGACGAATTGGGTAACCAAGGAAACTTAAGTTGCACACCAAAAGTAAGGTATATGTATATTTATTAATGTGTGTGTGTGTGAGTGAGAGAGAGAGAGATTCAATGAACCAATAAATGTATTAGTCAATGATTTGGGCGAGGGGACTAAGTAAATCAAATGTGAGTTAAACTCAGAAGCAATGGTTTGCGAGATGAATTTGTTAATCAATGAGAATAACATTAAGATTTTAGTGATGATCCAAATCATAACATGAATTATATTGGTTGTTTCAAGAGTTGCTTTGGTAGGATACTTTGGGGATACTTACCAATCTGTGAATAATGTCTTTGCAATACCACCTCCAGGTATATAGATTGTTCCAGTTTGGTCATTGCTACCACTTTCAAGTCCTGAAGGAGCAGGAAAACAAGGTCTTTTTTCCAATTGCTTCCATTTGAATTTATTTCTGAAAAGATCCCCAACTGTTGATTCCAAACTGAGAGAAGTCAGGAAACGGAACTGAGAACTGAAGATAAATAGTCAAAATTATAATATTAGTAGTTAATATTACTGGGGACCTTTCATTATCTTAAAAACACTTAAAAACTCTTAGAATTTTATAAACTGAAGAAATTTCTTGAGTAATTTGGTTGGATTAGTAAACTGAGTTGAAATTCCAGCTTAGTCTGTTGCATTCACTTTTGCACAAATACCCTTGGAAAAGGCATAAATCTATCTTTTCTCTTCCTTGTTTGGCTATGGGTTAAATCCCTGGGCCTTTTCTATAACTACTTTCATGGTAGTCATTCTGATGAACTTTCCTCTATAGTACCTACACTTTATGAATTTAAGCACATTACTAGATTGGCAGTAAGGTCCTATCATTTTACAGTAGAAATGGCTAGATTTAACTGTAAGTTCTATGCTAACAGTTTCTTGTCTTGCACTTCTCGCTTGTGGAACTCTCTTCCAGTTTCTTGCTTTTCTGTCAAATTTGATCTTCAAAGATTTAAATGCAATGTCAATCTTTATCATCTTAATTCTTGTTCTTTTACTGTCCTTTCTCCTTAATAGTATATTTTTCTCATATTCCCCAACAGTAACCCCTTGCATTTAGTGGCTTTGGGATGAAATGATTAAAAAAAAAAAAAAAAAAAATATATAGCAGGGACCTCTAGCTTTGTGCAGAATCCAATTAAGAGAAGGAAAACTGAATTCCAAAACCATGGAGTAAGCAACAGTAAAGCATCCTAGTGTCATTTCCAACTAAGTGTGATAATTTAGAGATAACAAAGAAAAGGTATTTGTGGGGAGACATGACTGATCACATCCTGAAGGGGTGTGAGCTATTTTAATTTAATAAGATTGTTAAATTCTAAAAACATTAAAGTAATCTGGGTGAATTAGAAATAGAGAAGAAGCTTCTGGCAAGATTTGAACTCTATATAGACAATATACCTGTCAGATATAGAATGTGAGTTCAAATCTTGTTGGGGGATATTTATTTTTTTTTAAATTTCAGACTCATGTTATTTACATGACAGTTGTAGAATATAAGAACCTGAATATCAACATAAAAAGCAACACTAAATATGAAAGAAAAACTACCACATATGATGGTATATATGATCCATTTATTGGCCTCAAATCTTAGAATTTCATACACTTGTAAGAAACTTGTCATTGTAAATTGGAAACATGGATGATGTTCCAGTAACATTTCTCATATTATACAACAAAGCTTTAATATTCCTTAACAAAATAGGAGGGGGAAGGGGTCTTATACAATAGCATAGCTAAAGGGGGTGGTCCACCACAGGTGGCACTTTTGGGTCTGCTGTATAAGCCTGTATTGAAATAAAAGAGGCCTTAATGTCTTGGCACTAAAACTTGAAGGACCTTTTCAATTTTGAGTAACTTAAACTATGGCATATATATTTAAGTAATTATTATCTTGGCCAAACAATAAACATTATCCAGTTATGTATTCAAGGCTGTTTTGTCATTGTTGAAAATGTGAAATCTGTGAATGGACCCAGGGTGCATTTTTTTAATTCCACAGCACCGTTGTGTGTGGGGGACACCTTTCAGTTATTTTCCTTGACAGAAGTTTGAGAGTATGTGTTACTGTATTTTACATCTTTTAGTCCTGTTAATAGTTAATATATATAAAGAGGGAATAACTGTGCAATATATTGTATTTTTTGTGGGGGTGGGGTGACACTCAAGGAATGCCCCAGGTGGCACACACTCTAGTTATGCCACTGGTTTTATAGACTATCAAATGCGTTAAAGAAACTAGTTTGATTCTCATGGCTTGCAAGGTGCTTTTAGAAAGGTTTTAATTCACATCTCATATGATGGTATAAATAACTTAAAAAAAAATGACTGAGATTTGATGAAAAAACTAAAAAAACAGTTCTATTAATAAATTCAACCAGATTTAATTTTTGTTCTTATTTCAGCCTTTACATTTATTTACAATTTTACCAGTTTGTGATTGTTGAAGCAGTGTACTGAGATGAGCTGTAGAATGAGTGGCCATGGTTAAAAGTAAATAAATGGCAGAACTGCCCAACAAACAGGATTGACAAAGTTTGCAATAAACAACAAGAAAAGAATAGGGCAAAAAATAATAAAAAATAAGCAAACAATATATGCAAGGCAAAGCAACAGTAATATGGCAAAAAGTTCACAAACTAATAACTGGGGTTGACACACAAGAGCAAATTCAGATAAATGAAGGTAGCATTTTTACTTCAAGACAAAACAGACTGGGACTGAGTCAGATGAAACTGATTTGTTTGTTCGTTTTGTTTTACGGCATATCAACCTTAATGGGTCATTTAATGCTGACGACTTTTTTTTTCCCCCAGTAATATTTTTGCTTTGTTAGAAATCCATTTCGATTAATATTTCTTTTCTCAAAAATATATAGCTGGTAATAGTATTTTTCCAAAAACATATAGCTGGTAATAGTATTTTTCCAAAAACGTATAGCTGGTAATAGTATTTTTCCAAAAACGTATAGCTGGTAATATCTTTTCCTTCAAAATTTTATTTCTGGTAATAATTTTTTTATTTATTTCTCTACAGTTCCATTGGAGTATCTTATGTGTATTTGGGATCATTGTCTTCCTGTTTGGTTCATTGGATTACTTTGTGTTTTAAGGTTTGGTGAGGTTTTTCCTTTCAAAAATGCATTGCTGGCAACATTTGGTTTTCAAAAACGCATTGCTGGCAACATTTGGTTTTCAAAAATGCATTGATGGTAATAACTTTTTACAAAGAGTTTCTGAGATTAAAACCCATTTTTACACTTTCACAGTGTTTTGACCCCAGTTACAATTCTATTGAATAAGGTTTTGTTAAAGAATGTATAGCTGGTAATATTATTTTTCCAAAAACGGCCTTTCTGTTGGATGTAGTTTATCGCCATACCCAGTATGTGGATGTAGTTTATTGCCGTACCCATGGACGTGAGCTAGACTGGGAATTCACTATTTGCCCATAGGTGGGACCCTAACAGGTGCTACCACCCCGGGTCAGGGTGGACCTGGGAACATCAGCAATTAAGAGGTGGTTCCATGCTCCTCAAAACCTCCCGATCAGAGGCGCTGCTGTTGGATGCAGTTTAATGTCATACCCAGGACGAGATTAAACTGAGAACTGGCCTACTTTATTAGCTAGGAAGAAATCCCCGCATGCATTTGTGTGCCTATAAATTAGGGGAGGGGGGAAAGTATTTTGCAATTATTTCCACCATGGATTGGAACCAACATGAGCCTTGAAGGAAGTTAGAAGACTTAGAAGGTGCCAACAATAATCTCAAGATGTTAAAGTTGAAACAAGACATGGATCTAGATCAGAGGTCCTCAACCTTTTCTGCCCAATGCACCCTTTTCACCATGTCAGAATGTCATCCCCCACCCCGCTTTCCAAGATTGTCTGACTCAAAATGTGCATTCCAAATAATATGCATATATTATTGAAAATCTTCATTCTTTTCCATATTAGTACATATACATTTACATGGATTATTTTTATAGAGTGGTTTTACAGATTTAATAGCAACAGAAAATGTTGGATTTTTAAACTTAAACATATGTACAGCAATTTGTTTTAATTCATAACTTATTATTAAATAATAAAGTACACTTAAATAATAAGTATACTTCAAAAAAACAAAAAAGTTCAATAGAATGCCAGGGTATTGTAATTCAATAAACAAAATTTTGTAAATAAAAAAGAAGAAAAAGTAAAAAATTTTCTCTCCACACTGAAATTATCCCCTGGTTGAGTACCCTGGGTCTAGATAGTTTGGAGAAGCACAGTGAAATATCTTCCAAAATGTTCCACACTTGTATCAAGGAAAGATCATGATAAACTGGATAGTGAGACATCTACACAAAATATTTATGTCATATCCTAAGTTAGTCTTATCGAGTAATAATTGCATATAAAATAACAAACACTGAAAATGTATAACAGAAGCAGAAATACCAAGTGTAACAGCAAAATTGTCCAAATCGTGTAACAGCATGGGATCATTGTGCATCCCACAAAATGTTTAATAGCTAAAAAAACAAAAAAACACTAAACTAATTGAGTTTCTTTTTCCAAGGTTTTCAGATAAGACATTTAGCCATCTTGACACCATTTGCCATAAGAATTACTGAAAAATCCTTTGAATTATTTAGCTTGAAAGAGAACAAGTTAAAATTGTTTTGTGTCAGCCCCACTATGTCTTTCCTACTGAGCAATGGTGAGAGGAAAAAAGGGCCATTCAGGCCTTCTGTAAAGGTACAAACATTCATACTCTGGCTTCTATCTACAAAGTCCATTCAAGAACCATCAAGTGAATAAGTTTTAAAAAGAGGGAACAGTAGAGAGGAAAACTAGATCAGGAGAGGGATCATCATTTCAACTTTGAGCTAAATACATTCTTAGTGTTAAAAGAGTCCAATAGTGTTATAAAAACCTTGGAGAATTCCAGTAAGATATCTTTAATCATTTTTGAGATAAAACAGTTCAAAGCTTAATCTAACAATTGGACATTTTTGCGGTTACTCCTGGTATATTTAACATATTTATAAATTAAAAAAATTGAATATTTTTTCTGTTTTCAATGAAATTATGAGTAGCCTAAACATTTAATGACATGTACTGATCGCTTTACTAATTTGTTTTTTTTACAGTTTATTAACCCTTTGCAGGTTATTTAAAACCAAAACACTTTGTATTGTAACAATTTTTTTTTTGTATGAGTGAATTAACAATATCTTTTTGGAGATAATAATTTTCCCAGATAAAAGTCCTACTATTTAATCCATAGGTGGTGAGAGAAGAGAGGAGTTCTGTGACACTATTTAGCTATGGTAATTGGCTAACTAATTAACCATAGAAATTAAAAACGGGAAATACTTAAGGTGAGAAAGAGCTATACCAAAAGATAGACTGAGCAACATTAAAAAGAAGAATTTATTTTATTTACAAAAGAAAGATACTTTTCGCAAAAGACAGAAAAGCAGTAAGAAAAAGCGAAACTGTGATTCTGTCAAATTAATTAATGTCACGATAAGGGAGTGACGCATCAAACGAAACAGAATTCTAAAAGATAAACAAAGCCGGCCGACACATGTGACTGTAGAGGAAATTTGGCTTGGGACCATCCTGGAGAATAGCCATTAATTATCTTTCAGAGATATCATTTAACTTTAATTCTTGGGTCCAGCAAAGAGACCCATCTGGTCTATGTACGAATCTTGACATGGAAAAAAAAAAAAAGAAAGAGAGTCGAAAAGGGGATCATTATTATTGCTTATTCAAACTGTAGACTCGAAAATGAGCATCTGGTGATAAGAGAATTTTAAGACATGACAAAAATAAAGAATTTAATTGTCAGGTGGGCACAGCCACCCAGTTGAAGGTTGACCAGCAGAGAACCCAAATTTTGAGTGTTGACAATGATTAATGAGTCAGTAGAGATCCGGGCTAAGTGGATTTGGGATGTGATAAAGAATTAATTGGCAATCTGGGAATTGTAAATGTTTTGGCTGAAGGAAAAGGAAAAAGAAAAGAAAAAAGGATTTTGTAAACAAAATTTTTGATAATAATTCTAAGAGGGCCAGTCTAGCCATGCCCACACTGCCGAGAGGTCATTGGCTAACTGGTAGCAAAGGGGTGATAGGCGGAGGTGAATGTATGAGAAAGACGGAGAAGTTGTTAACACCCATTGGGGGGACTGGTATGAGATACCAATGTGAGAGAGGAAGAGTCTAGGAGGATAACTCTCCTCCGACCTTCCCTCACGGATGACGGAGGAACACCAAAGTGGAAAGTGATTAATCTTCCAAAAATGGGAAGTAACTAATTCTCCTGGCCTAAGAACAAAGAGAATTCTTGTTGGGAATTAAGAATTGTCAAAGAACCCAAACCACATCAGGCCCCACCCCGGAGTTGGTCAGTGTCCATATAAACAAATATCTCTAGGCAGCTGATTAGAGAGTTTTCGAGAGACACAGTTGGAGTTACAGAGTCAGAGTGTTGTCTCGCAGAAGCTGACCGAAAGATTTCCACATCCTTTTTGACTTAGTCCTCCTACCAAAAGCAAGTTTTTATTGATGAACGACTTAAGATACTATAACTCGCTTAAGAAACGCAAAAAGTGTCACAAATCCATAGAAATGGGCTGAGAGAGAAACACACTCCTGTATTCAACAGATAGATAAAGATAATTGTTATTTCTCAACATATTTGAACCTCATGAGTTTGTTTTATTATTTTTCTTTTACTTATGCTTGTGCGGTATCACCTTTACCCCGGATTCAGCTTGCACTACGGCCTGACGCCCGATTGATTTCGTCTACCTAAGATCAAAGTCACAACGTAGGTAGGTTAGACTTGAGATCAAAGCAGTTACTTCGGTGACCAAGCGTTGGAAGTGAGCTGAGAACGACAAAGCTGGTATTGAATCTGAAACGACCAGATCGAGTGGGACACAGGCTGGTGGCAGCGACAAGGAGTCAACCCCAAAACGCTGGTGGAAGAAACCTTACGGCTTTATGCCGCAACTGGGAGTTGACCATGGGCCGATGGCGCAGTGTCATATATTGATGTCGAGACTAGTGGATGTCCCATATTGGTACTGGCGCTGAGACCGTGACCACCGGTGGGCGTCACAGTTCATACATTTTCCAAAAGGTATTTGTATGTAAATGAATGTAATGAACTTGACTGGAATTCAAACTCGCCTCTCTGATTTCTTATTCTGAGATGTTATCCACTCTCATATCCTAAGCACATGGAAAACTGAATTGGCACAATTTGCACTTGCTTCACGCTAATGCCTTTCAAAAGGGCATGAATCTTCTTTTTCCCCATAGTAATGAGTAAATATCTAGACAGTTGAAGCCCTTTGGCCTTGTAGATCAGTCCATGTTGGGCATTCAATAACAAATCAGGTCAGGGATCATTCATTGCTGCTGTTGTATATTATTTAAAGAGATGGACAATGTCAAGTCAACTCTGAGAAAAAGCATGAAAAAGAATTAGAAGAATTTATAGAAAATATTAACTTTTGGTGAGTTCCTCATGAGTAAGAAGGAGTAAGTGTCTTGCAGAAAAAAATGACAGTCAATACAAAATACTCACCCCATCAACTGGGAGTCAAGGCGTTCATGAGAAAAACTGCTTGTAAGAATGATAACCTGGTTAAATGTGTGAGCTTTGATCCATTGTACAAGGCGTTTTCGAAATCCAGCACGTTTACCCTTGATAAGAGAGAATATATTTTTTAGGCATATAAGAAACTCAAAGTTTGACAATTTCTAATTTTTATAATTAGAAATTATGATGATACATTAATCAAATTGGACTAGTGTCTTCCTCTTGATGTTATAGTCACACTGTATCCTTCAGCCCATTTTAGGTGACTGTTGTATTTAGTAATGTTTTAGAAGTTTCTAACTGAAGCTTTTAATCAATCCACAAGAGTAAATCATTCTCATTCAACTTTCTATGCTCAGAGATATTTTATATCACTTAAGATATCTTTGTAATGCCATACGTATTCCCACAACCCTTATTCAACCCTAGTTTGACTTAATTCCCATAAGTTTACAGAATATGACAGAAAATGGTCAGAGGATACAATCATTAAAATGACCATAATAACAAAGAGGAGGAAACTAGTTTTAAGTGGTGAATGTATAATAAACATGGCATCTAAGAAAGAGAAATTATTGTTAAAAGTGAAAAAGCTTTAGTAGAAAAACTAAAAATTTGTCTCAAGAGCATGATTCTTTGATATACCTGATCATTTAAACATAAGAGATTTGCTAAACAAACCAATATTTTTTGCCTTGAAGAAAAAACTCAAGTATTTGATGTAAAAAATAAATTTGGTCATGTTACCTATAGAAAACTAGTTGATGTCATTTTAAGTAATTATTAGAAACAAAAATTTAATTTACCCTCACAAATGGAGCTCTCTGTAATATCAACACCAACTGTTTTTCTGGACATTCATACACTGCAAAACAAATTTTGAAAAAAAGAAAAAAAAAAAAAAATCACACACACACATATATATATATATATATATATAAGCAAGTGTAAATTGATAAAATCAAGACCCAGAATGTAGAAATTTTGAAAAAACAAACAAAATCCATAAATGTGAGTTAAAATGAAACCATTGTATGGACGTCAGACGTTTAATTTAATAAACCATCTTCAAGACAAAATTCATTAAAATACAAATTCAGTTCAAGATGGTTTATTAAGCGAAACGTCTGACGTTTTCATTTTTAACTACATTTATGGATTTTTGTTTGTTTTTCAAAATTTCTACATTCTGTCGGATTTTATCCATTTACACTTGCTTATATACTGTCTACTGAAAACACAAACCAAAATTCGTTTTTTACAACATGGAAGATTACAGGCTTATCCGGAAATACAGGAATTTTAAAATAATCAACGAACTTTTAGGAATACGTTATGGGAGCCGCCGCCCATGTGACTACAGGCGTGACCACGTTAAACGGAAAGCTGATCTTTTAAAAATTTTCAGTTATCTGTTTTACTCTTGGATAAGACTTGTGTTTTTATGTCCATCGTTTTCATCATATTGAACTGAATTTGTATTTTAATGAATTTTGTCTTGAAGATGGTTTATTAAAGCCGAAACGTCTGACGTCGACAATTCTTTCATTTTAACTACATTTATGGATTTTTGTTTGTTTTTCAAAATTTCTACATATATATATATATTGGACAAAGTGGAAAGGTTTGTTTTTTTTACTGGAATGTGCTAGGTTTGGCTTCTTCAGGTTGGAATGAAAGACATAACTATAAGGAAAATTAATTGGGATGTTTAAGGATAGATCAGACAGCCAGAAAGCATTTTTTTTCTTAATTATGTGTGCGTGTGTGTGTGTGTATATATATATATATATATATATATATATATATATATATATATATATATATATATATATATATATATATATATATGTATAAGGCAATCTATAGATAAGACAAGACCCAAAATCTAGGTAAATGTTCATAATTTTATCTGATATCCATAGTATAAGACAACTGGAAACAGGCTAGCCTACACTGTCAGTAGTAGTCAGGCCTATCATAATGATTCCTATGAGTATAAAATAAAACTTATGTTATTACAAATACTGTTTTGCTTCTCATTATTGTTATCAAATCAAAAGGAATAAAATAACAATGATTTCATTCTTATGACTCATATGAAGGACAAACAAAAGTTGTGTATTCTGTAATAAGAAATTAAGATTTTATGGCATCTGAAATATTTTGTTGCTTATCACTGCAACAAAAATACTGTGTATGTTATTGAAAAATAAAATTTGCATGTTATTTAACACTACAATGAATTATAATTAGAAATATAGAGTGCATGTTATCCTGAATGTTGTTATTGAACCCTACTATGAGAAATAATGATTGGTGTGAATGCACCCATATCTTTACAAATCAAGAACAACAGATTTATGTTACTTGTGACTGTTATTCAGTGGAACTTTTACAAATTGTTGTGTAACCATCTCTTGAATATTGCATTTTAATGAGAAATCAAATAGTTTTATTAAATTTATTATTTGTAGTACAGCATTATAAGATGAATTATTTCAACTAGAAATATTTACATTGGGAGTTACCATACCAAAGCAGTTGCTCGCCTACTGCAATTTATGGCGCAACCATACCAGCCTACTTACCAGTGCCGATACACCACAAGATATAAGGTTAGCTTTTTGTAACTGTTGTATAAACAACCCCCTATTTTGGGGGTTAATTTTTAAGATTTAAAGGTCGCCTTATATGCAGAAATATACGGTAGATATTTTATTAGTGTCAGGTTGATTTTATTTCTTCAGTGTGTATATGCCTGTATGTATATGTATGTGTGCATGTGTAGAATGTTGTGGTTATTTCTCATTTCATCATTTTCTTGTTTCCTCATCCCAATAAAATGCACATAAATTATTAATTTTTAACTTAATATAAAAATAATGAAAATGAGAAAATTGGCTGCCAGTTACTGATACCTCTTGACAAGTACACTGAAGAATTACATAAAAGCTTTGTCTACAAAAATCTGAGTCAGGGTACTGAATTTAACATCAATCCACTAAGTGATAAACATCATATTTGTATTAAGCCTCCTTTATATATATATATATATATATATATATATATATATATATATATATATATATGTGTGTGTGTGTGTGTGTGTGTGTGTGTGTGTGTGTGTGGGTGTATATAACATAAACACTTAGGGATTTCTGGTTGTCAGATCTGATGAGATAATTTATTATTCCTTTTATCTTGAGAATTCTCAATGCCTTTTCCTTACACACAGTTTTGTCTTTCATTTCAACCTGAAGAAGTAATTCCCATTTACCAGCCTTTTGGCAGAATTCAAACCTGCATTCCCTTTACAGTGGGGAAACCACCTATATAATAAGAAATGATGTTGGTTTATAAATAAAATCCATTAATTACTCAGCAATTGCATTTCTCAGAGACTACAGATACAATTATCAAAGATACCATATATCCCATGAGATTACAGAATAAACAACAAAACCCATACAAAGATCAAATTTGCATCATTCTTTATAGTTTGATAAATTTTATTTATCAAACTATAAAGCATAAGTAGTGTTATATATCAATTTCTAATGCAAATCAGACAAAAACACATGGAATTATGTAAGGATTTAAATATCCAAGGTAGCTGTGAATATGTTACTAATTTTATTTATTAAAGTATAGTGTTAAATAGCAATTTTTTAAATTATAACTATGTAAGGGTTCAAATATTTAAAGTAGCAGTGTTAGTATAAGCAAAAATTTCAAATTTTTTTCTTTATAAAAGGCAAAACTTTTTCTTTATTAAAAAATTGATTACAGCAATTTATGGAAATATTTTAATTATTTAAACAATGAATCTATCACATGAGTTTTTTTTTCAAGAGTTGTTCAAATTATTAAACTTGTGGTGCTTTTATTGTTACCATCATGTTTTGACTGACCCATTCTACAGCCTCCTTCAGATTTAAAATTTGTACAGAAAGGAGAGAGCTCTCTTCTACAGAAATAGGTAGCAAACAGAGAAATCAAAGCTAATCTACTGACTGGCTTGGCTCATTTCCAGTAATGTGAGCCAGAGATTCTCTCTCTCTCTCTATATATATATATATATATATATATATATATATATATATATATATTTATTCAAATTTATAACATATGCATGTTATAAGATCACTACAAAAGTTTCAATTTGTGTTATAAATTTGAATAAATATTATTAGCTCTACTTGGTATTGAGCACTCTTTTAAGAATAGTGTTTTTGGTTATTGGAATTTTATTCCATGTGTACCAACCCTGTACTTGCATAAAACAGAATTCAAAACCAAGGGTTGGGCTCAGTCAGGCTGTCTTGCCCAAGAAACACCACTGCTGTGGCAGTACATGTGATGCCTCTACAAGCCAAGAAGGTTGCAGGTTAAAAAACAAAAAAAAAAAAAAAACAGAAATGTTGAACTTATAATTTTATGCACAGTTTCTCAAAGAAAAGGCACTTGGCTGGCATGGGAAGAATTTTAGTCTTAAAGACACACGTGTGTGTGGGTGTGTGTGAGTGAGTGAGAGATTATAGTGAAAAAAATGACTTGATGACAATTCATAAACAATATTGGGATTTAAATAGAAAAATATTTTGATAGAAACCTTCACAGCCTGTAACCAATGAACAGGAAGAATGAGAAACTGCTGAGTAAGGGTTATTTCCCACCACAGGCAGAATACTTTCATCATAGATGTAACCAACACTGGTCATCTCCAAAGTGGACACAATTAAATCTGCTGCCAATTGACCAACATTGCCGACAGAAACCGCAGCCTATTAAAAAATAAAATAAAAATAGTGAACAAAAAAAAAACAAGTTTGAGAAATAATTATTTACTTTTGTGATAGCCGACTCAAAATTTTAAAAACTTACCGTATTTCATAGCATATATAGCCGTATGGCAGTAGGGGCATCTTTCCTAATTTTTACATCAACTGTATATGGCCTTGTACCAAACTAAGTTAAACTTAGTAAGTAAACAAAAGAGGCGACTTGCTGTGATCAGCCTATGACGATTATATAGTCAGTTCAGTATTTTTTTAGGTACTCCAAAATTTGCGGCCTTGGGTCAGACTACTTAAAGCTAAGTTAATTTTTAAGAGGCAGCCGGCTGCATTGAAATGTTTGACTAGAGACAAAGAGGAATTTATGCGATGTGTCAAGACAAGTCACATAAACAAAAAAGAACTCCAAACTGGGCTTGAACCAACACCCGTGATGAAAATCATATTATGATTCTCTTTTCCACACACACACTTGATTTTTAAATGAAAGTACAAATTGGCCGGTAAAGGAATTCGTTTTATTTTACAAAAATAAATACTTTTATTTTATTTTATTAGAAATAACTTACCTTTTTCTTTGTTGGGTCAGGGCAGGAAATACTATTACAAGTTTTTAAAGGAATATTTCATAGTAACAATATACCGAAAAATAAAATAGCTGGTTTTCTGAACGAACGTAAGCCTTAAGCCTTAAGGCTTAAGGCAACCCCCAAAAAGTAAACACAATCATCATGTGTATGTTTTTAAATGGTTAAAAATCTTTTTATGAAATTTACGGAGTTAAGGGTAAGACCTAATAATCTTAGAAGGTAAAAAAAAAAAAAAAAAAAAAAAGCAGCTATAAATACGAAAATCAAATGAAAAAAAATTACATAAACTTTTTAAAAGAAAGTAAACATTTTTTAAAAAAATTTTTTTATGTATTGTAAAGTTTTTGCGCGTGTGTTCAACATAAAAAAAATTCACTTTGTCAAAATAAAACCTATATTTTATGAATGATTTCCAGATTTGATTACAAATTCAATGCACTTACCACTAACAAAGAATAACCATTCCATTCTTTGAAATAGTCTCTCGTGTTTGCTTTGTCACATGGAATATAAAACATCTCGGCATTAGAAAGCATCTTTACTTCCTTAGAGAGATTCCATATTATTAGTGTTGACTGGTGCAGGCGAACAAGGCCACTCACAAACAGAAGAAGAGCTTATTCGAACAAGGCTTCATTTGTTTTATTTCATTTTAGTTATAAGACAGACATTTAGTTCTTAAAAACTTTTAAAATATCATATTATTTTTTATCGCTACATAATTAAAAAAAAGAAACGTAAGTTATTAAATAAATTCAATATATAATTTTCATATTGTAATGTAGCATTTATTTTTAGTTTAAAAATGTATCTTATTGAAAAGTTGAAAATCTGTAATAAACTGATGTAAAAGATGAATTAAAAAATTAATCCTCCTCCTATTTATAATAATAATAATAATGATAACAATAATACCACTAACAAGAACAATAACAATCAAAATATTAACATGGTTCTTTGAACAGTGTAGTATCTGTGAAAGGCGTCTCTCTCAAACACACATTCATGCATGCACAGAGGAGGAAAAAAGGTATGAAAGAGGAAAAGGGTAAATAAGAAAGCAAGAGCAAAAGGAAAAGTTAATAAATTGAAAGGGAGAATGATGATTTTCTAAACACAGCTTAGATGTGACACAAGGCCAAAAGTATGGAGCACCCAATGAGGATTGAACTCCCTATTCAGTCATAACTGATTAAGTGGGAAGCACCTCAGTGTGGCATAATAGTTAGCAACCTTGTCTCGCTAAAATAGTTATAACTGAATAGTGAGTTTGATCCTCACTGGGTGCCCTATACTTTTGGCCTTGTGCCACATCTAAGCTACGCTTAGAAAATCACCATAATTGATTAAGTGAGACATGTTTGTTAACCATTACATCATATTGAAGTGCCTAAGAAAGCTACTGAAAGTGTACAATGTATCATCAGTGGCTGAACTCAGCTGGTACAGAAAGAGTACAAATAATGCCATGACAAAGTTGCTTTAAGAATACATTGGGAACTATACAGGAAGTATGGCCTTCAGTGTGTAGAGAAATGGTATAAGCATTCACCACTGTCAATAGTCAAGAATGAGCAAGTGAAGTTCATGTGGGATGCAACTATCTTAACTGACAAGCACTTGGAGAGAAATCACCCTAATCTCTCATTTATGCACAAGAACTCTCATGAATGGATTATGACATTGTGGTACCATGGGATAAAAACATTGTGAAGGTGGAGCAGGCAAATGCAGAGGTACCAAGTCCTGACAGGACAAATCAGAGAAGATGTCAAGAAAATGCTCTCGATCCTACATATGGGCAGAGACTGGTCAGGTCAAGGCAAAAAAGCAGTAGCACTTACCTTAAGTTGCAAAATAGATTGCCATTTTCTGCAACATAACAAGGAAGGTAATTTTATATAAAAAAGAGAGAGAGATTTCCTTTCCTTTTATACAACTTCATGGTAACCTTGTCACATGACCACTGTAACTATAAAGGGTTAGTAAAGATAATAACAAGCTTTTTGTTTAGTAAGGATTTCAACAACACAAGGTAAGTACACTGCTCCTTTCTTGCCTGACAACAGTCAATTTCTCCACAAAATATACCAAGCAGTAGCTGAAGTTGTCCACTTTGTGATTGGCATAAATAGATAAATAAATTAAAAATGTGCTGAAAAGTTCTCGGCCGAACAAAGAAGTCTTTAAGAAGGTTTGGTTAGATTTTGGATAGTGGATTGGAGCAAGAACTTTTCAACATACACTTGGAGAATAAAAGGTTATTATTTTTTCAAATCAAGTTTTATATTGCAAATAAAAAAAAGCTAAACAAACAGTTAACAGCATTTTTAAAGCCATTTTAGAGATTATTGAATGTATGTAAAATATCCCCAAAAAGAACCATCCCAAAAAACACATAATCCAGCATTTTCTATTATGTGTGTTTAGAAAACATTTTTTTATTTGATTAAATCATATGATTATAAGCATCAGGATTTCTTTTAAAAAGTTTTTAGATGATTTTCTTCCTACATTTTTTACTCTTAGAATTCAGAGTATTTTCAGAAATTTTTCTGATACATAGGATGTCTTGGGGATACTTGGGAGTCCGAAGGTGGGCAGCACTGCTTGGAGCAGCTCATGTGATGAAGAAAATGTTGCCTTTAAGCTGCAAGTAGGAATTGAGATATCATCATCAAGATCATCATCACCTGGTGGAAATATTTAAGAGTTGGAGAGGATATCAAATCAAATAATTATCATGATGATGATCAGAGGTGAAACTGTCAACTAAGTGAATGTAGCAAAATAAGTCAGGAAGGGTATTAAGTATTGGGAATGTGCTCACAGTGTACTGGATTGTAGTGAGAGAAAAAGTTATCTCCTCTTGACCAAACAAAAATAGCAATGAAAATAATTATAAATATGAGAATTAAAAAAAGCCATGTGACCTGCACAAGACATCATTAGAAAGTTATAGAAACAGGACACTCATAGCAGGCTTGTGACAAACCAAACAGATAAGTACAAAAATTCATATTGTTTTTGGCACATAGCCTTTTGCAAGTAGATACATGCTAACTTTGTATTAATAATTTCAAATATAAAATATATATATGCAAGTGTTTTTATATGAAGACTTTTGTGTTTTGTTTGAACTTTTCATATATTTATGTTGTCATATGTTTCATACACTTTAAATGAAATCTATGCTACATAGCACTGCACAACAGGATATTGAGATGGAAAAGGAAATCAGTGAGTCAAATTCAAATTTTGCACTAGTCTGCTGTGTTCACTTTTTCACAAATGTTCTTGGGAAAAGGCACAGATCTAGCTCTTTCCCTCAACTATGGGTTAAATAGCTGAGTAGTAGGCTCTAGTCTTGGGTGGCAACCAGGTCAAGAGAAAGAAAAAGAAGGTGACAATGGAAAAGCACTCCACTATCTTTCCCAAGAATTCATGGTAATTCTCAGTTAATAAAGAAAAGTAATCTGTCAAGAACCATGATTGTCTCTGAAAGCATATGATATTTTTAAAAAAATTGTATAGAAATAGACCTGTTGCCAGAGTGTTTTGAGTGTAAGTGGGGTGCTGTTAAGTGAGGGGGAATGTGAGTAAAAGTGTTTTATACTAATACATTTATGTGAATGCTAACACTCACTCTGAGCTAACAGTGACTGGTTCTCAAGATGAAACAGTCATAAACAATGGAACAATTTATTTTTTATTTTATCATCATACTTATTATAAAACCCAGGTTGTGTGTGTGTGTGTGTGTCTGTCTGTTCATTTATATATTGGATCGGATTTCCTACATTTTTCAACCGATTTCAACAAAACTTCACAGGACTACGTAAAATTACCTTGCGGTGGTTCTGACAGTGCCAAAAATTGGAAAAACACAATTGTTTTTGCACAAAATCAATTTGAAAACACAATTAAGAGGCATCGCTGTCGCAAGAATGAAAGGAGGACAACTCATATCGAGTTATACTTATTATAAAACTCAGGTTGTTTGTGTTTGTGTGTGTGTTCGTTTATATATGGGATCGGATTTCCTACATTTTTCAACCAATTTCAACAAAACTTCACTTTTTTTTGGCAGGTAGTGTTTCTTATTGTCTTGCACACTTTTTTCTTTATTTTTACATTCAGAATGCTTTAAAAATTCCATTTACAAGACAATTGTTTATAATAAAATTCGTAAAAAAAAAAAAACTAATTAAGACATGCGTGTCCGTCAACCTTAAACAATAATCTTTGTCAATTTTATTTTTCAGTCTTTATGATGGTCGATACTTGATCTATCTCTTACTGTTACATTGCTGGGCATCGCCGGGCTCTACTGCTAGTTTACAATAAAAGATTTTTTCTTGACCAATATTAATAATAGAGGTAAATAATAATACATCATATTCAACAGATAATATGAGTGATAATATCACATGTCAAGTAAATTATGATCACATCATGGTAGCCAGTGTAACAGGAGAGATTTATGGAAGAAAGATTTATTTTCTCAATTGTATTTCCACCATTATGGGCATTATTATATCTGTAATATAATAACACCGTACTTCATGGAATCGCTGAATGGAAAAGGAATGATGAACATGCTTTGTTCTCAGAGAGAGTTTTATAATGCTATATAGTACACAAAATTATATATACATATGTCCCACACCGCGAAAATATAACATATATGCAGCAACAAACATTGTGTTAAAAAGAAGGGGGAGCTTTACTTGTAATATTTTGTGAAGGGAAAACTGGAGTTACAGCTGTTTCTCTCTGAACCTGCTGAGGTCATGTGGTTTTTCCTGTAAGACTTACTGCTACAGGCTAGGGATGTCTTTCTTCTGCAGATTCTGCATTGCAATCCCTTTGTCACTCTATCCCCTGACATCACTCACTGGCCATCACGTGACCCTCATAACTATCTCAACGAAGCGAAGACAATAGCCTTTTGTATCCCTAAAGGTATAATGAATAAGTGATATAGTATTAAGAACCAGAAATATTTTTGTAGATGGTTTATTTTATAAGTATTAGCAGAATATAATTAGTTTACAAATGTTGAAGGGATGAAAGTTTATAATAATACTCAATTTGTCTACAAAATAAAAAAGAAAGGAAAAGAAGAAAGCAGATAAAGTGTAATTCCTAAATTTTTATATTTCAGATATTGTTCAGGTGCTTTACAAAATGATGTTTTTTTCTTTTTTTTAGTCCAGTTTCTTCTTATGAAGACAGTTTTCATACAATAGGAAATAGATTAAACACGGGAAGATTTCTTAATGATGCCTCCTATTACTTCAACTTGGACTGTTACTCTGACTACCATACGGAATGACTACTTGACATGTTGTCCTTTATTTATACTTGGTGCACAGTTATAGTAGTAGGCACAAAATGTATGCAAATATTTATCAGAAAATACTTGGCTCTATTTGAAAGTATAACATTTATAATTTAATAACTATACATGATTAAAAGCTGAAACATTTCAGATTAATAATTTCATAAATGTTTAAATGCTGTATAATTTTTATCTTTCTCTATAAATTACATTTTAAGTTGGTATCCACACAGTCAGGATATCATAGCTTATTAATAATTTATCTTAATCTTATTAATTAATAAAAAGGATTCTTTTTGCCTGAAATTGATTAATAAATAGAATGTGTTTTAATAATGTCTCTGCTATAATCCAAATATCTCTAATTTGTTCATTTTACTAAATCTTAATTTATATGGATCTTCAAAATTTTTCTTCACAAGTTCTTGTTATGGCTTATCAACCTTTTGTGGGTTATTTAAAGCCAAAACATATTTTGGATTGTAAAAACAATTCTTTTTGATTTTTCTAGACATTTAACCCATAGTTGGAGGGAGAGATGAATTCATATCTTTCCCAAAGGTTTATGCACATAAATGAATGCGACAAACCTAATATATGTGTGTGTGTGTGTGTGTGTTTGTGTTTGTTTGTGTGTGTGTGTGTGTGTGTGTGAGAGAGATAGAGAACCTTTTTGCCATTTTATGCTGCATTTTGATAATTCCATCTAACAGTCATTAGCAGGATTACCTTGGCAGACAAGTGGGGTAATTCCACACCATTTTAATTCATCATTATTAAAGTCATTTTTCTTTTCTTGTTCTTATTTTGCCAATGTTTTAAATTTCTTTTTTGTTCTATGGTCACTATTTGGCAGGAAATTTTCCAAGTCCTGAAACTTAACTTTTGATTGTACCTTATATCATATACAGTGGCACTGTAGAGAAGGCTGAGGAGGGTAGCTTCATTCATTCTCTTCACTTTTTGATGGACTAAAAACTAAAACAGAAAATTGACTTTGTCTTCTTGGCCTCAGTCTATGACAATGCATTAGATGAGATGTTATTAATCTAAAAATAATTATGGCACTCTATTTTCAGAATAAATAATAAAAATTCATTTTTTTTAACATTACCTTCTAAAACTTCTGTAAGTCTTCTTGTGTTTTTAAAACGTAACGTTTTTAGTCTCATTTTTTTGCCCATGCGGGTATATAGAGATATAGAGAGATAGTTTTTATCGTGACTGTTGTAATAAGAATTTTAAAAATAGCCAAGATAAGAAAACGATTTCATTTTTACACATTATTACAATGACAACTGACAACATAAAATAAAAATCAACTCACACTGAAGAGATTGAGGAAGTATTGAGAACACTTGTTGTCACCTAATCTCCAGTGAAAATTACCAGTTAACTCTTTTGCAAAGACTTAGTTTGTGCAAAAAAAAAAAAATTGTTTGCCTGTACTTTATTCATTTATTTTGCTTTTTATTCATTTGATGTCCTTGTTGCATCAGGAAAAAGTCTCGTGGCAAATATTATATTGAACGAGAATCTCATTGGTTAGCTGCAGTCAACACTGTCGCGAAGCCGGTCAGTGTGAGAATTTTTTTTTAGAGGAGGACCGCCAATTTATCTCGAAAATTTCTTTTCATTTATCTTTTCCCAATGAAGATGCATATAGTGACATGTGCTGCCCCGGTGAATATTGCCATTGTAAAATACTGTAAGGACTTTTCTTAAATCAGATATTTTGCTTTCCCCTCATAATATTTTCTCGGTTTGGTATGCATGTGTGTAGTAATGTCACTGGGTGAAAAATGTGGCTTTTTTTTATTGATGAAATGCTATTTTCTTTTTTTTTAATTTCTTCTTTTTGCTTATTAATTTTAATGTAAGTAAATCATATATTTTAAAATATTTACTGTCATCGTCTCATTAATATTGATTCTCTTTCCTTTTTGTATTAATGCGTTTGTTTTGTATGGATTTATTTTAGCACAAGCAAACCTGGTTTTAAATTTCATTGTTCATTTCGCTTCCGTTAAGAAAGATATTTAAACTGTGATGCTTTAATCTAGTATAACTGTTTTCTATTATTATTGATATATTTAAATCCGTCTTTTATTAAATGATTGTGTTTTATTCTGGATTAAGTAATAGTGAATCCTTGATTAGTTGCAATAAAATTTTAAAATGTTTCATTTCCGAGAAAGATCTTCACATTTTTAGTTTTTAGTATAAAAAAATGTCTTATTTTCTCTTTCCGCGTCACATATCACGACTTATGTTGTCTTCTTATTTTATTTACTTCGTTTGGTGTTAAATTGGCTGAATCTTTTGTGGTTATTGTACACAAATTAATTACGACAATTAATCACTGTTTCTAATAATAATGTACTTAAATCTTCAAATATATTTTTCAGTATATTGCATTTTTAAACTATTTATTGAATGTTTATTTTTAGGAGGGTATTTCTATAATTTTAGTACTTTCTAACTTACAGAAAATTGAAATGGATTTCTTTTTATTTGTAAGTCCTTGATTTATCCAACGTAAATGATCGTTCTAAAATTAAATGTAATTTATTTTAAACCTAAAAATCAATGTAAATAAAAACTCGGCTAACGATATTTTCCTGTTCATTTTTTTTCAATAATTTCATATTTTTTTTTTGTTTTTGGTAAAGCAAGAAGTATTTTTTTAGTTCTAGTACTTTTTTTTTTTTTTTTTTAAACTAAAAAGTAAAATGATTTTTTATTTTTACTATTTTTCTCTTGTCTTATCAATGTTTTTTTCTAAAATTATTGAATTCTTTTCTAACCCCGTGTTGTCATTCATTTGTTTTTAGCATCTGACGTTTAATTTCATAACTTTGTCATTGTACAGTTGTTTAAAAATTTCCTAAAAATATAATGTGTTATGTTAGTTATGAGAATGAGATTTTCCTCGTGCCTCTTAGGATTTCTCGTGGTGGTTCGTGGCTCAAAAATTGGGGATCAGTTTCTCGTTATACCAAAATAGTAAATTGACCCCCCTTTTAAACATGGATTTAAATGTATTTCGATTCCATGCGTTTTTTTTTTTTTTTTCGTTATTTCTTTCGTTCAAGGTAGATGGTTATTAAAAACTGGAGGTCACATTCCTCTTTTCTTGTTGTACAAGAATAATTCCGCCACCAGCTTATTTCAAATGGGATCATATTTGCTTATTTTATTTATTTATTTTTTTAAATAGCTTTTTTTTATTATTTTTTTCTCAATGTCTCCTTTTCAGTTTTGGTTTAATTTTGTTGGTTATAAAATTGTACAAAAAAATGTTTTAAACTGTTTAAAATCCGCTACTAAAGAAAAAGCCGATTTAATTGGCGGCGGTAATGATTGGGAAGGGAGGTGCTTTCCAATGTACGGATGCCCAAAATGGTATCTTTAAGGTGAAATCTACACAGAAATCGTAAATATGGTAGACGATGTTAATTTTAAGTTGTCTGTTTTAATTTTTTTTTTTTTTTTTTTTTTGTAAACGAAAGCTCTTTTCTATTCTACACTTCCTTTTTGTTTCTTCTGTGTCAATTGCTTTCGTAGTTTTACTTTTAAAACACATTCCATTGCATGCACACTTGCAGTGTTATTATTAAAAAAAAGTTTTTAGACCCCGTAGTTGCTGATATAAGTGCGCTTAAAATCTTTCTTTTTGCGGCATGAAGCCCCTGTTTAAGATCGTAGAAACAAATATTCACAAATTTTCACCAGAAACTCGCTCGAATTTGATCTCGGATCATGATGGTCACGTGATTGAACTTTTTTCTAGAATCTTTACATTTGATGATGTCAGAATTGTTTTTAAAAATCCCGTAGTTTGTTTTCTTTTAAGAATCTGAAGCGATTAATAATGTTAAAACTGGGATACGTTCAACAATATGGGGTCTGACATTAAAAAAACAAATTGCACGTTTTCAAGAATGTTAAATTTAGAGTAAAAAGGAAAGAAAAAAAAATTACAACAGATTTTTTGAGTTTGTGTTTTAGAATTTTTTTTTATTTTTCCTGGTTATTGCAAAAGAAAGATTATTACATGTGCCCTAGAATGGATGATTTGATGAAGGATAAAAAAAAAAAAATGATTTTGTTGAATAATATCAGGAAGACTGAAAATAAAGTTTTTTTTCCCCCATTTTTTTGAGGTGGTGGTGGCAAAAGATAATGCCGTACAATAGTAATTTATTTATTTTTTTTAAGAGGTTACAAATCATATTTTTCGGTGACTGGTTGCACTATATACACGAGTATATGCAGTAATTTTTCAATAATGAATTTTACTTTGAAATTTTGCACAAAATGAACATTAACTATTTCGAAATCCTTTGAGGATACAATCGTATTTCTAAATAAAACTTCTGAGAAGAAAATGATTAAGTTCTATTTTTTTTATCCTTTGCATGTTATTTAAAGCCAGAAAATATATTTAGAGTGTAAGAATCTCTTAGATAATCATTTTATGATACAAGTATTACTAATTAACCCTTAGCTAGCGGGAGAAGAGGTGGCTTCATACCTCTCCCAATGGTATTTGAGGGTAAATGTATACAATAAACCCAACGGGAATTAGAACTCTGCTCAACAATTTTGATTCATTATCTATTACACCACCCGCACATCCAAGCCGACAGCCGCTGGCATTCCCAAGCAGTCATTTATTGAGGTGCTGATCAGATGCTTAACTCTGGTGATTGTAAGGGAATCTGTGTTTCAATGTTATGCAACTGTAGGGCTGAGAGGAAAAAAACTAAGGAAAAATTTACAATGTTAAAAGTTTAGATTACTTACATGTGTCCTTGTGTTTGTTGTTAAATAGTTTGCATGTATATAGTGCAAATAACTCATCATCTGCTGTAGGTTTGGATTGTCAATTCTCAGTTGTGGCTCTGTTCACAGACATGCAGCTGGAGGAAATAAAATACTATGAGATGCCTGGTCCTTGGGAACAGCTGCTTAGGGCTGTACCCTCCAACCCCTATTGCACTAGATAGGGAGGGTCAGTGGTCATACTGATGCCAGCACAACTGATGGTTACAGGCACTGGTCAATTTCTTTTTTTTTTTTTTTTCTCCCCCTGGCCTGAATGTATGTGTTTGGGTTCCCATATTAAACCTGACCTTTTGTCACATCTCGTCTCAGTGGGGTAAAAAGTTCCAGAAATTCAGAAAAGATTTCTTAGTTTGACATATAGTTATCAGTGTGTCAAGTATAAAAATTCTTGAACATGGGTGTGGTTAATTTTTTTAATTGTTTTCCTTATTTGCTCCATTCAAATAGCTTCAGAGATGGTCTTTTTTTTTTTTTTTTTTTTTTTTTTTTTTTTTTTGCATATCTGTATTTATAGAATAAACTAATTATTACTTTCTTAGTAATAAATCTTATGTTTTTTATTGTGTTTGAAGGTTGATTAAAAAGTAAACATCCTTGTTTTGGATGGAATTTCTGACAACAATTAGAATTTATTAATAATTAATTTTTGTCCTCAATCAAAAGTTTCCATTTTTTATTGTCTTAAATGAAGACCGAAAAAGATTTTATTGTTCTAAATTATTTCCAAGTGATTTGATCAAGCATTTCAGTTCCTCAATTACTTTATAGTGATAAATTCTTTTTTGACACTTATTAAATTTTCTTGCATTTAGATTGTTGCCTTCATCTTTGTTGACATAACATTTTGGCTATTGTGGTCTCCTGCCTCCTTTGAGTGCTTATTTTTTTATTTTACTAAGTCTATCCTCTCCTTGACGTTTACATGGATCAAAATTCACCTAATGAAGGCCAGAGGGCATAACAGCTGAAATATGATAAGGACAATTGTCTAAATGTAAATGATTCAACGTGTGTCCCATGCCAGGAATCTTATACAGTCAAACACATCCTACTAAAGTGCCATAATCTCCGAATCCGTAGTAAACGCTACAAATCAAATAACCTAAAGGATCTATTTAAAAATACTAATCCAAGTAACATCATAAATTTCATTAAAGAAATTGGGATCTACAGAAAAATCTTTAAAAAAAAAAAAAAAAAAGTTCACTAAATTCGTTTACTTACCTGGACTAGTAAACTAATTTGGAAATTCTTTTAAATATCAATTATCATTTTTTCAAAACTTATTTTAAGAAAATCAGAAATTATAATTGTTTATTTATTTTGAACCAAGCTTAACTTAGCTTCTGCGCCGAAAGATGTAATTTGAAAATAAAACAAAGCAGATCATAAACTTTCGTGTCACTTGACGAATGACGTATTGACGGATTCCGTGAGGATAATTTGTTCTTCGGAAGGAAAAAGTGAAATAATTTACATTTAAGTGAACAAATTATTCACCTCGTTATTTTTAAGGAAAAATTTCAGTGCTCTAATTATTATTATTTTTTTTTTTTTTTTTTTTTTTTGCTTAGCTATGACCTTTACATTTATGTTTTATGGAAAATGTATTATAAAGAAATTAAAATAAGACTGTTAAGAGTGACATTAAATTTCATATTTCATAAGAAAGGTATCTAATTAATTTATAGGTACCTTTCTTATGAAATTTTATCAGAAGTGTACATAAAATACTATAATTTTATGTACATTTATTACATTTTACTGTGTTATTTGTATTTCCATTCATTTTCTTATTAATTTCTATGGAAAAATGTCATAACTGAGATTAATATAAAAATAAGATCATATAAATTT